TCTCCTCGTCAAAGTAGCCGCGCTGGTAGGCCACGTCCACGGGCACGCGGTGGCTGTGCACGGGGTCGATGATGCCGCCGGTGGCGATCTGGGCCTCCAGCAGGCGGATGCCGTGCTCCCTGAGGACCAGGCCCTTCTTCATGGCCTGGAAGAGGGAGATGGTGGAGCCTGAGTAGGGATCCTTGTAGCCAGTGACGGCCTTCTCAGCTGACAGCAGCTTTTCGTGCAGCTCAGGGCCCACGACACCAGCCTTTACAGCCTCATGGACATACAGGCGCTGATTCCGCACGGGGTCTACCAGAAAGCCAGTGGCTGCCTGAGCCTCAAGCAGGAGCGTGGCTGTGCTGGGCCTGAGCAGGCCTCGGCGCATGGCTTCATAGATGGTCACCTTCTCCTTGGAGTCCTCCAGGTAGATGCCGGCGAGGCAGCCACTGCCCTGCAACAGCGTCCGCACAGAGGCCACCTCTGAGAGGTCCTTCACCGATGTCTTACCATCCTGGAGCTCCTGAAACTGGGCTTCGCTGAGGACCCCTGAGTCCAGAAGCTCTCTGGCCGGCACAGTGGTGCGAAGGCCAGTGAAGGACAGCCTCTCCTGCCGCCGGGTCTCCACGTCCTCGATGATGGTGATGAGGATCTTTATGACTTTCTCCACGGTGACCTTGCCTGTGCGGAACTGGCGTAAGAACTCCCGCCGCTGCTCCTCCGTGAAGTACTCCGAGCTTATAAGCTCCCACACTGTCAGCGTCCTGCCCTTGAAGTTGCCCACAGGGACCTCAACGGTGGCCTTCTCGAACGTCTCGTGGGCCTGGCGCTCAGAGTAGAGCTCCTCCTGCCGGGCCCGGGCGGCCTTCTCTGAGACTGGCAGCAAAGTCAGCCCCGTCAGCTGGTCAGGCCGGCACCTCTGCTGTAGCTGACCATAGGTTACTGGCTCCTGTGAGGTGGGGTCGCAGTAGGCCTTGGCATCGTCCCTGGGTGCTGACAGGGCCCTGCTGGTTTCCTCATCCAGATATCCCCGGGCATAGGCAACATCCAGGGGCACACGGTGGCTCTTGCTGTGGTCCACAATGCCACCTGTGGACAGCTGGGCGTCCAGCAGGCGCAGGCCCTGCTCCTGAGGGATGAGGCCCTTCTTCAGGGCTTGGAACAGGGAGATACTCTGCCCTGAGTAGGGGTCCCTGTAGCCTGTCACAGCCTTCTCGGCCGAAAGCAGCTTCTCATGCAGCTCAGGGCCCACCAGGCCAGCACGCACTGCCTCATCCACAGTCAACCGGGCGCTAGTGGCAGGATCTATGATGTGCCCAGTGCCGGCCTGAGCCTCCAGCAGAGCCACAGCCACATTTGGTTGTAGGAGGTCCCTCTTCAGGGCCTCGTAGATACTCAGCTTCTGCCCTGCCTCTTCTAGCCATACGCCTGCGATGACATTGGCGCCCCGCAGGGCCCGCCGCACAGTGTCCACCTCGGCCACCTCTTGCACGGAGCACTCACCCCGCTGCAGCTGGCGGTAGAGGTCGCGGTCTATGACCTTGCTCTCCAGCAGCTCAGCAGCAGGTACCAGGGTGCGCAGGCCCTCAAAACAGAGCTGGCCCTCGCGCTCGCGCGCCTCCACCACAGTGATGACGACCTTAATGATCTTCTCCACCGTGATCCGGCCTGTGCGGAACTGCCGCAGCAGGTCCCGCCGCTGCTCGGCCGTGAAGTATTCTGAGTTGATGATCTCCCAGATGGTCACCGTCTTGCCTTGAAACTTGCCAAATGGTGCAGACACGGTGGCCTTCTCAAAGACGTCCCGAGCCTCCGAGTCAGTGTAGACCAGCTCACCGCCCTTGGCAGCCTTATCTGTGAGTGGCAGGAGGCGCAGGCCAGTCTCCGGGTCCTCCACACAGCGCTCCAACAACTGCAGGTAGGTGAGGTTCTCGTGCGTGTTGGGGTCGAAGAAGCCCTTGGTGTCGTCGCTGGGGTCTGCCAGGATGCGGTTCATGTCCTCGTTGAAGTAGCCGCGCTGGTAGGCCACCTCCAGAGGCACGCGATGGCTGTGCACGGGATCGATGATACCGCCGGTGGCGATCTGGGCCTCCAGCAGGCGGATGCCGTGGTCCCGGACTATGAGATCCTTCTGCATGGCCTGGAAGAGGGAGATCTGCTCCCCGGTGTAGGGGTCCTTGTAGCCAGTGACAGCACGCTCAGCCGACAGCAGCTTATGATGCAGCTCAGGACCCACAACGCCCTCCTTCACAGCCTCGTTGACGGTCAATCGCCGGTTCCGCACAGGGTCCAGCAGGAAGCCTGAGGCCGCCTGGGCCTCCAGCAGAATGAGAGCTGTGCCAGGGCTCAGTAGCTGTCTCTGCAGGGCTGCATAGATGCTTAGCTTCTCATTGGTAGGCTTCAGCAGCAGCCCCGCAATACTACTGTGGCCCTGCAGATACCGGCGCACATCCTCCTGCCGCGCTAGCTCAGCCACTGTGGTGTGACCCTGAGCCAGACGATGCAGTTCCTCTGTGCTCAGGATGCCTGCCTCCTGCAGCTGCTGGGCTGAAACCTTCCACCGCATGCCATCGAAGGCATTCTCGGGCTGCACCTCTGCCACCGGGCCGTCAGGTGCCTCCTGGCCGTTGGGCAATGCCTTCGTGGCAGCACCCTGCAAAGTGACAATTTCCTCCGAGTGGGCGAGTGCGGCCTGGTGTTCTTCTTCCAGGCGCTGCAGCCGCTCCCGCAGCCGCTGGTTCTCCTCGGCCAGCAGCTTCTCCTGCTGCCGCCGCTGCTCTTCCAAATGCTGCAGCTCCTCCTGCTTGCGCCGCACGCCCTCCTCGGCTTCATGTTGCCGCCGCCGTGCCTCCTCCATGCTGGCCACCAGCTGCTGCTTCTCCTGCTCCAGCTGCTGCTGCTGCCGCTGCTGCTCCTCACGCAGCTTCTGTGCCTTGGCCACCTCATCCTGGAAGAGCTGCTCCAGCTTGGCCTTTTCCTGCTCGATGAAGCGCTCCCGCTGCAGCAGGCTGTCCTTTTCGGAGAGGAAGCTCTGCTGCAGGGCCTGTGTCTCCTGCAACAGCTGCTCCTGCTTCACCATCTGCATCTATGAAAGGCCAGGTGAAGGGTTGGCAGCAGTCAGAGACTACGGAGGCCCAGGACACCCTGCCGCCCCACCCACGGGCAGATCCCCCCGGGGCCCACCCGCCTGCAGGGGAGAGGGCTGGTACCTCCTCGGACTTGAGCTGTAGCAACTTGGCCTCCTGCTTGAGCTTCTCCTTCTCACGCTCCAGCTCGGCAATGGCCTCCCGCAGCCTCATGGCATCTTGGTCGCTCTGCTGCCGCTGGATCTCAAGTGTCTGCACTAGTGTCACCTTCTCCTGCGTGGCGAGCTCAGTGCGATGCAGCTTCTCGCCAATCTCTTCGGCCTGCCTCCGGAAGCGCTGGGCATCCTCCTCAGCACGGGCCTGGGCCCGGCTCATCTCAGCCACACGCAGCTTGAGGCGCTCAGCCTCCGCGCTCATCTCCAGCTGCCGCTGCCGCTCCACTTCCAGAGTGCGCTGGAAACCCTGCGTCTCCTGTGCCAGCTGCTGTGCCATCTGGTCCTTGTCCTCCTGAAGCCGCCGGGCCTGCTCCTGTGCAAGCTCCTTCTGCTGCAGCAGCAGCTCGGCCTCAGCTTTGAGCCGCGTGGCCTCTTGCACTGCCTGCATCTTTTCCTTGAGCATCTTCTCAGCCAGGGTCCGCTGCTGCGCCACATCCTCCTCTGCCAACTGCCGCAGCCGTGCGGCCTCCTGGGCCGCCACACTCAGCCGCGCAGCCTCCTCCGCCACCTGCTTCATCTTCTCGGCCTCCTCCTGCAGGAAGCGCTGCGTGTTGTCCTTGTCACGCAAGATGAGCGCGCGGTTCTCAGCCTCAATGCGCGCCTTGAGCTTGCTCAGCTCCTCCATCTGCACGCGCACAGAGAAGAGTTCCTCCTCCACCTGGCTGCGCTGGCGGGCTGCCTCTGTCACCTCTGCCTTCAGCCGCTGCAGCTCCTCGTCCAGAATGCTCTTCTGATGGTCAGTCTCCTCCAGCTGCAGCCGCAGCGTGGTCAGCTCCTGCTCCACCTGTGCCTTCTGCCGCAGCGTCTGCTCGGCGAATTTCTTGTGTTTCTCCATCTCGGCGTCCGCTGCCTGCTTCTGGCGCAAAGCCGCTTGCTCTGCCTGCGCCCGCCGTGCGGCCTCCTGCTCAGCTTCCTTGCGCAGCTTCTCTGCAGCAGCCTGGGCCTGCGCCTGGGCCTGCGCCTGCTCCTCCGCCGACTGTTTCAGCCGCTCGGCCTCTTCCACCCGCTGCCGGGACTGCGCCGCCTCACGCTCGGCCTGCTGCCGTGCCTCCTCCGCCTCCTCGGCTGCTCGCGGAAAGAAATAATAAAGATCAGAGCAGAACTAAATGAAACACAGACCAAAAAACAACACAAAAGATGAATGAAACAAAAAGTTGTTTTTTTTGAGAAGATAAAATTAACAAAGCTTTAGCAAGGCTAACATCATATCTGAGTACTTCAAAAACTTCATGGAAAAATAGAATTAAAAGATAATCAGAATCTTTCCATGAACTTTTCGAGGTACTCTTGTATGTGGCTTTCCATAAAATTAAAACAGAGATGACATATCTCATATCTTTCCTAAATATGAGATAACTCATATAATTACTGCTGTAATAACACAATTAATAAAAACGAAAATAGAGTGTAATGTTTCTTAAGCAGTCTTTTTACTTAGAAGTATATTTTGGGTATATAAAGCTATGGAAAGATTTTACTCATAACAATTCTGTAATGTACAGGTACATTCTCTCAGAAAAATTTTCTATTGTTCCCAATAATGGAACAGGAACTTTGAGATAAAGAAACACATTTCTGATTCAACCTGCACATCCACAGTAACTTTTCCTCACTCGGAAGTGAGAAAATCTACATTAGAGATTGTACAATTTTTATGAAAGAAATGACTAAATAAAATGTTCAAAAGAAAACCAATTTTCTTTTCTGTAAGTAACGTCTATCACAGTAGTATCTACTAACAAAATTCCCCACTTAGTGGTGGAGTTTCAAAATATTTTCAGGCTCAGTTTATGACAGTATTTGACCTGCCCTATCTATATAGACTCTACATTTTCATTACATTTAAATTCCATTTGTAGATGGCTTTTTTTCATATTAAGTCATGTCTACATAAATATTAGTAACAAGGTAATGGACACAAAGAATAATTACATTTGTAATGGTGAATGTGCTAATTATCCTGATTTGATCATCACACACTGTACACAGGTATTTATATTCAACTCTGTACCCCACAAATGTGTATAATCAATTACATTTCAATAAAAAAATATCAGTAGTAAGGGTGCGTTATGAATTTTTCTTCCAATTTATGGTGACATCTTCAAATATTCAATTCAGCATGCCTTCCCAAGTTGACCACTATATCACCTGTCCAGATTCCCACACATATTCTCCTGGGTTTTCCAGTGTTCTGGACATGGGGAGAGTTCATCAGAACCTAAGCAAAATGTTGTGGCACGATAAAGTGTTTCTTTTGCAAGTGAGAGAAATTCTATAGGATGATAAAGGGGGTACCCAGTCCCTTCTTCAGTGATGGATACTTGCTAGGAAGTATCCATTTTCCCCTTTTTTCTTTTAGTAACAAAATGATTTCATTTTACTTGGGCACACAGCCACCCACTGAAGACTACATTTCCCAACCTCCTTCACAGATAGACATGGCCATGTGACCAAATTTGGACCAATGGAACGTAAACAAAGATATGTGTGCACCTTCCTTCAAAGTCATCTTCTCAATAAAGTTGTTTACCTTGAACTTTCTCTCTTATTCTCTTCCTGAGGGCTGGAACATGAATGTGGCCATGACCCAGGTTTGAACACAGAGAGAAGCATGGCACTGTGTGGGATGGCAGAGCAATGCAGTACAGCAGACCAGCCTTTCCAGCCTGGATACCTCAACCCTGGAGTGACATGAGAAAGACTGTGTGATTTCATCCACTGTCTTTTCAGATCATACAACAGTTTAGTTTGCAGCAGGGGTGAGCCTGGGGTATCCTTCCACTACCATCTGATTTTATTTTAATCACTAGAAGATGTTCCTTCCCACTTTATCCCCCCTTTGGGGACTTCCCCCAACAATATAACCATGTTCTTTACAATATCTCCCCTAACCCTGCTCATGTGCTTACTCCATTTCCTCTCAGCCTCTTTCCTTCTTTTGTTCCTTCAAAGTAAACCTTGATATCCCTTTAAATTGCAAACCAAATTCATCAGCAACTTTAAAATCACTCCAGAAATTAAAGGAAAATATTTGTAGCTATCTCTGATATACCAANCTGCAGCTCCTGCGCCTCCCGCTCTGCCTGCGCCTTGGCCTGGGCGTGCGCCTCGGCCAGCTGCCGCTGCTTCTCCAGTGCAGCCTCCACCTCCGCCAGCCGCTCCCGCTCCTCTGCCCGCTGCTGCTCGGCCAGCCTCTGTGGCCGCGGCAGAGAGAGGAAGAGAACCAAAGAGAGCGTGAGCACGGAGCAGGCACTGGGAACCACCACAGTTCACTGGGATAGCACGGTGCGGGGGGATCAGGGAGGACAGAGGTCCCAGCCCGGCCGAGGAGAGAGCGTGCACCCGCCCAGGGCACCCGGGCAGCGAGCGCAGCAGCCCCACCGTGCTCACCAGCCTGGGGAAGGAGGCCCAGGCGTCCTCCCCTCTTTCTGCAGACAGGCGACGGAAACAGACAGACGGACGGAGGAGAGAGAGAGCAAAGCAGGAGGCTTGCAGGGTGGTGAGCTGCGCCCCCACACAGCCCCTGCCTGGGCTCTGCTGGGCGCAGTATGCTTGGTTCCCACCATGGGCCCCTCTCCCTGACCAGGGCTACTTCGAAGCCCAGTGGAGTGGCCAGAGTGGGGACAACAGTTTAGGCTTGAGCCAGCTCAAAAGAGGGACTCCTGGGCCGGCAGCTCCAAGCAGAGAGGAGGCA